AAAAAAAAAAAAAAAAAAAAAAAAACAAAATGCAAAATTTTTTTGCTTATCCTGTATTTAAATAATTAGACTGGTAAGTGGTTATAGTGGGCATTGAAAGCAGCATTTATTTTGTTTAGATTCCTTTCAGTAGCTCAACACAAAAATAATAAAATTATAAGTAACTAAAAAATAGATTTGACCTTTTTAAATAGGGATATCATAGATATAGATTCAAGTTAGAAGGAATTTCTAAATGTTTTTAAAAAAATGTAGGTGGCCCTAAAATTCTTTATGCTTTGTGGAAATATAAATATAATGATTAGGAATCCTGAGGAGTGACACCACATGAATTTTACTTGTTTTTTTTTTTTTTTCTTTAGATTCAAGAGGATGTATTAGGGTGAAAAATAACTCATTTATTCTTGCCATTATTTAAAACAGAAACAACCCTGTTGTTGTCTGTCTGGTGTTAATTGTGGCTCTCAAGGAATGAAACTCACACAACCTCTTTTCCTGGGGCAGTGATTCTCTATTACACAGGGAAAGAGAAGAACAAAGCTAAACTTCTTGAGTTGTCTAGCATCTTTTTACTTTTAAACGTCCCCTACTTTTGGTTTTGGGCACTGATTAATGACTGTCTTGGGAAGGAACAGTTATGAATCCAAATCAAAATTTACATGCTAGGTACGATAAGGACTGGAAAACTAAACTAAAAATAACTTGATGGAATTGTGGCCCCACCAACCCAGGAAGAGCCAGTCTGCAGCCATGCCCATGCTTCTTCTGGCTTCCAAGGCTTCCATCTGGATGAAGCTAAGAAAGGAAGCTTACAGGTGATAAGCCAGACTCCTGGACCACCAAGGACCTTTCCTCCAGCAGCCATTAAGGATCTCTGCCCTGTGTTAAATTGTAAAACCCACATTACTTTTTAACTCTGTTGTGGGAAAAATCACCAAATAATCAGTCTTTAGAAACTTGAACAATCAAATGATCATTGTAAATGTGATTAAGAGAAAATAACTCCCTCCTTCCCTTTGCATCAAGTACCACCATTGGTGGGGTCCCCTACACTGTGCTTCTAAAAATACTTTTGCAGAGGGTAGTGGGGATTCTTCACACACTGGAAGCTCAGGATAGGTGGTACAGGGAGGTTAGCTGTCTTGGGGGTCTAGAAATCTGCAGTCCTGACAGTCCATTGCACCTGGCCTCTTTTGACTCCTCAGCACCTCCTTCCTCGGTGTTCCCTCTCTACCAGCTGACTCAGGTAGATTCTTCCCTTTTTATTCCCCATCACAATACCTTGTTTCCTTCTTTCTAGCACTTGTCACAGCTTATAATTTTAGTTACTCCTCTGTTGTCAACTGCTCTCTTGTCTTCCCCTATGAGATTGTGAGAACCTGAGGGTCTGGGCCATGGCTCTTGTTTATCCTAGAGTCTACCAAACCTAGCAAGTCCTATTCATAGCAAGAGGTCTCTGCAGCTCCCCAGGAGACTCACTGCACAGTCAGAATTGAAATCTCTGAGGATAAATATTTTTTGTCATTTCACCCAGAAAAAGGCCCATAGCATTTATGCCTTGGGCATTTCATTGCCACCTGTTTATTCCATCACTACTGGTAGGTGGGTCTTTGAAGATCTATTTCACATTGATAGAATTTTTGCCATTATTTAACTTGGAAGAATAAGTTGTATTTCCATTTTCTTCTCAAGAAAGTAATTGAAGTGTTCCAGGAGGCTTTTAGGGGTGGGGTGGCAGGGTCTCACTGTGTAGTCCAGGCTGGCCTTGAATTCACAACAGTCCTGCTTCAGCCTCCCAAGTGTCTTTGCATTATTTTTTACATGAATCAGATCTATTTTACCATTGTTGTAAGTTTTGTGAATTTTAATTCTTCTTCATTAATATCATCCTCTTACTGTTTCACACTTCATATACTGTCTCTTCAAATGTGTCAAAATATTGTGATGTTCAGTCTTCTTATCCACTATACAATGAGAAATATGGTCACTCATCTCTTACACTTGGATACCCAGATAAATTTCCTTTCTCCTTTTTTTCATTGTTGGGGAATGGATACAAAGTCTTAATAGATGACTTACATTGTTAGCCATAGACCAGGATTTGCCTTTGTAGTCTCACTAGTTTAGTTCTCCTGCCTGGAAATAGAAGATATGGTAAGTAATATTCAATTTAAAATAGCACAGAATGGGATAATTTTTGGAAAAAACAAATCATGTGTCCTAATCTCTCAGATCACTGCTATCTCCTAAGTGCTCAATTGGTTTTTTTTAACCTCTTTTCCCAGACTATCCAGGGAAATACTCTGAAGAGGAGAGCAAGAGCTCAGCATCAGGTATTGCAGGAGACCTTGGGGATGACCCACAGGAGGCCCGTGCTCCCACCATTGCCCAGCTGCTGCAGGAGAAAACCCTCTATTCCTTCTCAGAGTGGCCAAAGGTATCTCCCAGAGCTTGCACTCTGTACCTCAAGCATTTTCAGTTCCCATTATTTCAAGCCTTATAAAGTGTAACTATGAAACAAACTTAGGAACGTTCAGTATTTTTAAAGGGTATTATGTTATATTTAGCATTGAAGATGTATGCGCTTGACAAGAGTGTGTCAAATTTCATATTGATACAATATTTGATATTTCATATTTGATGTGAGTGCTCATATTTCTAGTACTGTGAATTTAACCCTCATTGTCCAGACTAGAAATTTATTTCAAGGGAGTATGTTTATGTGCTCTTTTCTTCTTTTTAATTTTTTTTTTCCCAAGCTTACTATATATATGTATATATATGTATATATTACTAGTAATAAATATTACTGTATATTCCTTTTATTTTTTAATCTTTATTTTTAGTAGTGCATGTTTGCAGTACATAATGATTACATTTATTGTGAGAAGTTAGTACATGGGCATAATGCATCTTAATGCTTTTTTCATCCCCTTCCCTTTTTACTCCTGCATCTTCCATCTCTTGGTCCCCTTCCCATTTGTGTGCCCTTTTCTAATCACCTCCTTTTGATCTCAAAGAACTTTATGAGTTTGGGCAACTCTGGGTTTATTTCTCAAAGCTGGTATCCTTTTTCCCAGGATCGTGTGATAATTAATCGCCTAGATAGCATCTGCCACGTGGTGTTAAAGGGGAAGTGGCCTTCCAGCCAGCAGTATGAGCCCTCAGGCACACTGTCTGCTCCAGTCTTAGCCAACAGTGCTGGTTCTCGGAACAGCCTCTCAGAACCAGAAGTGGCAGGACACAGTTTGAGCAGTGGTGCCACACTGGCAGCTCAGGTCCAGAAGGTAAGACCACAAGGATGGTGTGGGCCACAGAACAACAAACTGGCCACATTCCATTTCACAATTAAGTTGTTCAGTCAACAAGTACCTACTGAATGGACAGTGGGATGTTTGACTTTTTGTTTTTTTGTTTTTGTCAAGCTATTACTGTTAATTAAAGAATTTGGATCTTATCCTATAGGCTGTGGAGAGCTATTTTAAAAGTTTAGGGCCAGAGCACAAGTAAAAAACAGGGCTTTACAGCTTAGCTGTTCTGTAGCTTGGCAGAGGAAGTGATGGGAGGAGAGAGGAATGCCTCAGCTGGGGGCCAAGTGGGGAACTAATGCAGAGAGAAAGCTTTACACTGAGTTAGAGGTGGGGTGCATGCAAAGAAAGGGACAGACTTGATGACTAGTAAATGTGTAAGGAGGAGGAGGAACGATGGATACATACAATCTTTAGATGACTGAGAGGACAGTGATAGCTGGTAGAAATTTGGAAATTGAGGCATGATTAAACATTTCTGTTTGAACATTATATTTTATGTTTTTGTTTTTGTTTTGCAGTACCAGGGATCGAACTCAGGACCTTGTGCTTGCAAGGCAGGCACGGTGCCACTGAGCTAAATCCCTGGCCCTGAACATGATGAATTTTTTGAAGTTAGCTGTTAGTATACTGGTTCCATTTTTGGCTGCTATCAGAATCAGAAGGGACCTTGAAAAGCTATTAATTCTAATTTAATTGGTCTGAGGAATGGCCTACGAATTGAGTTTTTTTTTTTTCTTCCCAAATGATTCATATTTACAGTTGAGGCTGAGAATCCAAGTCATAGTCCTACAACTGCAACTGTAGTCTGACTAGCAATTTTGTCAGCATCTGGGAACCTGTTAAAAATGCAGAATCTTGGGCTCTGAAGGGCTCACCAAAGTAGAATCTGTATTTTAACAAGCCATCCAGGTGATGTGGTGCTAACATTTAAGAAGGCTTGAGATCATAGAACTTCTAAGAAGATGAGTGGGGAAGTCAAACCAGGAGAAGGAGCTACTTTGGCCACAAAAGTGGCATTCAAACCTCTTTTGCCATGTGTGTGTTCACAGGAGAGCTTCTTAGCTCCAGTATTCACAAAAGATGAACAAAAGCACAGACGTCCCTATGAGTTTGAGGTGGAGAGGGATGCCAAGGCTCGGAGCCTAGAACAGTTCTCTGCCACCCACGGGCACCCCCCCATCATCCTCAATGGCTGGCATGGAGAGTCAGCTATAGACCTCTCCTGCTCATCAGAGGGGTCCCCAGGAGCCTCATCCCCTTTCCCAGTGAGTGCCAACACGCCTAAGATTGGGGCTATCGGTTCACTTCAAGGAGCCCTTGGCATGGACTTGTCTGGGATCCTGCAAGCTGGTCTGATCCACCCAGTGACTGGACAGATTGTCAATGGAAGCCTCAGAAGAGATGATGCTGCCATGAGGAGGCGGAGAGGAAGACGGAAACATGTTGAAGGAGGGATGGACCTCATCTTTTTGAAGGAACAAACACTTCAGGCAGGAATCTTGGTGGGTATAAAAGGCCACTAAGTACAAACACTGACCTTTTGACGTGGAGAAATAAATTGTTCTTCCTCAGGCACTTAAGTATTTTGGTTTGTGGGTCTTTTATCCCTGTTTTGGTTGGCCTATTTAATTTCTCTTGTTATGCAATACCTGGCCTCCATTTTTTTCTAGAAATAGATAAACATTAAACATTAATGGCCCTTGATCTGCATGCAACCTGGAGAAATGAACCATGAGGTGTTGTCATTTCAAATAGAAGTAACCCAAAGCTTTATGTCTCAGAAGGGCCACTGGTAATTGAACATACAAAGCCAGAGGACAGAGTTGAGTTCTGGTTCTCTGGCATAGTGAAACTCTCCAGGAGCCAAGGTGTGGAAGAAGCAAGAGTCAGGACCAGCTGAATGTTGATCCCCAGCTGTACTATCTAATATTGGGTGACAGCAGACAAACCACTAAGCCTCATATTCCTTTTTATAAAGTGGGGAGCAACCACTACTGCAGAAGGCTGACTCTCAGAGACCACCCTGAGACAGTGCACTCTAAACTCAGACATTAGATATGGTGGTGCATGCCTATAATCCCACAAGTCTGGCAGGCTGGGGTAAGAGGATTGCAAGAAGCAAAATAAAGAATAAATTAGAGCTAGAGATGTAGCTTAGGGCATAAGCCCAGGGTTTGATCCCTAGTACCATATACATATATACATACATACATACATACATACATACATACATACATACATATGTGCATGCATACTTGGGATCTTTGTGAACATTTGAGGAGGCTAGAAACTGTATTTGACCAGTAGAAATCCCCTTCATACTGTGCTTAATGTTGTATTTTGAGTTTCCCCATTTATTGGATTTTGAGCCCCAAAATAGGAATTACATACTATGTTTTATTTTAAAAGGAATAAGGCCATTATTCATTGGGTACCTACTGTGTGGCAGTCATTGTGTTCAGGATTTTTCATGATTATCCTATTTGATTATCACAGCAACCTAGTGAAGCTAAGTGTTTTATAGATGAGTAAACTGAAGCTTAAAAGCATTAAATTATCTACCCAAAATTATCCAGCTGCTAAGTGGCCAAGCCAAGGACCTTGTGCTCTAGATGCTGAGAGCTTCACTGCTTAAATTACATTATTTGGTATACATCTTCCTCTTAGACTTTCTATATAATTTAGGAGGTTGAAATGTCAGATTCTTTCCCTGCCTAGTCCTTCAAGCTGATTTTGCGGGGGTGGGTACCGGGAATCAAACTCAGACTTTACACTTGCAAGGCAGGCAGCACTACCACTGAGCTAAATCCCTGGCCTTCAAGTTGATTTTAAGAGTTTACTTTTTTAAAAGTAGAAAGCCATGAAAGAAAAAAATAAGTCATGATTTCTCTTAATACTCATAGAATTACAATGGAATGACAGGTTAAAATATTTTTCCTTGGGCCTGGAGATTTGGCTCAGTGGCACTGCACCTACCTCGCAAGTGCAAGGTCCCGAGTTCAATCCCCAATACCAAAAAAAAATTTTTTCCCCTTGGTTTCATGGTGTTTTTAACACACTCCTGCCAGCTTGAACCAGTGGTGGTACAAGCATGACTGTCCCATCAGTCAGCTTGTACCCACCAGTGGTTCAGAGCTGCCCACCAGCGGGACATACAAAGTAAGGCCGTCATGAATTGGTTAAAGTTATTAATGCAGACACTTATTTAGCACTGGCACTGTATTTTGCAAGTAGACCCCACTATAGGCATTGGTAATCAAGAGATGAGTAAGATGGGTATTCAAACTGTAGAGGGAGAATGAGGGAGCAGATCATAGTGTAGCATTTGCTGTTACCTGAGAGAGTCATGAACAAGGTGTTGTGGGGACAGGACCTGAAACAGCCAGTGTTGCCTAGGACAGTCAGTGATGATGACAGGAAATGACAACAATCAGGATGGAGTTAGTTTGGTGCATAGACGAGGGAGAAGGGCTCCTTCAGTGGAAGAAGAATCCAACATGTGCAAGAGCAGTGGTCAGTTGCGATTGTATATGGATCTAATTCAAGCACTCCAGCAGCTATGACAGGCCAGAAATAGGTGGAAGCCAGGCGAGGTGGTGCACGCATATAATCCCAGCACTCAGGAGGCTGAGATAGGAGAATGGCCTTGAGTTCAAGGCCAACCTGAATTACATAGCAAGACCCTGTCTCAAATAAGTTAAAAATAAAAAAATAAATAGAAAAGTTTAAAGAACACCTTACGTGTTTAACTTTCAGGAGCTAGTTTTCCTTCTGTTTTAATTAACTACACTACTACTATACTCATTAGATCCTCATTTTTCCTTTGCCTAGGAAGTCCATGAAGATCCAGGACAGGCCACTTTGAGCACTACACACCCTGAAGGCTCGGGACCTGCCACCTCAGCCCCTGAGCCAGCAGCAGCAGCCAATGGCCAGGCCGAGAAAGCCATTCCCAGCAAGAGCTTGCTTGACTGGCTGCGGCAGCAGGCTGACTACTCCTTAGATGTTCCTGGCTTTGGGGCAGTAAGTGTTTGTTGGTGCTGCCTAAGACTGCTATTAAATTCCTTCTAACTTGGGGCTATTTTTGATCAGTGCATGCTGAGGGAAACCAGAAGGTGGAAGTTATTTGGGAGAAATCTATGTTGGTTGAAAACATCATTTTAAAGTTGATTTTGTTTTGTATTGTTTTTGTTTTTTTTTAAAGTTTAAATTTTTGGCCAGGCATGGTGGCACACACTTGTGATTTCAGCCCTTAGGAGGCTGAGGCAGAATGATCGCCACATATTTGAGACTAGACTGGGCTACACAGTGAGTTCAAGACCAGACTGGACTACATAGCGAGACCCTGTCTCAAAGAAAAAAATAAAGTTTAAATTTTTGTTCAATCCTCCAGTAATAGAAATTATAGCCCACATCAGAATACTATGCCAAGAAGTATACATGCACAATATTAAGAGGATAGAACATTCCCCTCTGCCCCCCAAAATGACAAGATGTCATAAGCTCACAGAGAAGTCTTTAGGTTGAGTAAACTCTACCACTTGATGACAGTGTTCCAAGTTAATATATTACTAGAGGGGTTGGGGGTTACAGTTAGTGCTTTGGGACTTTGCCTTCAAGTCATCTTGCTGCTTTTGCTCTAAGACCTTCCAGTTAGAACTCTTTAGGAGGCTCCTGAGCTCTTTTTTTTTTTTTTTCTTGATTTTTCTTTTCTCACTTGCTCATCTACCCTATCACCATCTTTATCCAGGGTACATGTAACTAATCAGATGCATAAGTAGAGAGTATACAACAAATAGAGTGAATTCATAGGTTTATAACTAATGACACAAAACCAGCTGGGTGGGTCGCAGCGGAGAGAAGATCGGAGGAGCAGGCTGGGGATTCAGCAGTGCCCTGGGTAAGTTGGGTGCTCTCAATTTAGTGGCCCAGGGCCCACACAGCCTATTTTCTAGCTTGCTGCAGGAATGCTGGTGCTCCAAGAAGAGAAAGCCTGTGTGAGGTCTGGCAGTAGGATCCTGTGCAGAGGACCATCAATGAGAAAATAGCGAAACCAGCTAAAAAGCACCCCTCTTCTCAGAAGACTTTGTGACAGAATGTTTTGTAATATGGTCTCCATTTGCCTCCTAGAATTTTTCAGACAAACCAAAGCAGAGGAGGCCACGCTGTAAAGAACCTGGAAAATTAGACATCAGCTCTCTGAGTGGAGAAGAGAGGGTTCCTGCTGTCCCCAAGGAGCCAGGACTGAGGGTAGGAAGAAGTTCATGGGTGTGGGGACAAGGGGAGCATCTTCATTGAGCTATACTTTATGTACTTAAGAGAAAGCCCCAGTAGGTAGCTGAGAAGTGGGTGACATTTTGCAAAAGACAAGAGGCCAGTACAGGAAGTTGGTAAACAGTGATAAGTGGTGCCAAGGGCATTTTTGAGCAGCATTGTGACTTTCTGATTATTTGTTTCCAACCTTTACTTCCTAAACAGTTGAACTATTCCCAGTGCCTGGTGTTTTTTGTTTGTTTGTTTGTTTATTTTGTTTTCTTTTCCTATTTTTAGAATTATAAGAGAAAAGACCTTGGGCAGCAGTGTTTTCAATGTTTAACAAATTTCATCATTGGAAGTTTTTATTTCTTATCCAAGTGTTTTTAACTTCCATTTAAGATGTTTCTTCCTAGTACATCCTCACTAGCAATGAAAAACAGCTGACTGCAAGCACTGCCCTTTTCCTGTTATAGAATCATGAGCCTGGAAGGGACTTCAAAGACAATTGCAGAATACTTGGAGTGTAACGAATCAGAGTTAATTATAGTTTACAGATGAGGATGAATTTGGACTAAAATAACCATAACCTCTAGGGGGCAGCAATAGCATTTCATATGAAAATACCTTGAGCCTGGGCAGATTGCTTTTAACCTCCCCAAAGTCTATCCTGTCCAGATAGGAGCTTCTGAAAATCCTCTTGGGGACATTTGCTTTTCCCAGACTGTTCCATGAACTCCTGCTCTCCTGAACACTGTCTCTTCAGTGCTGTACCAGCTGCAGTTTCCCTGAGTATAAGTTCTTTCTTGGTAGGATTGCCTGAATATAATTTCTTGCTTTAGCTGCAAAAGACCACCCACCCTAGTCATTTCCTCTTTCTACAGAAAGGAATTATTTAATGTTCCCCAAGAATTTCTCACTGACTTTGTTACTCTCCCAGCAGCTCCATAACAACTGCTCTTGTTCATCAGAGTGCATGACCTCAGCCAGAGTGAGGCCTGGGCCGAGTTCCCCAAGTTTGTCACCCTTCTTTGTTCTTTCTTGCTTTATCAGAAAATGTCTTTACCAGCCTCTTCTTAGACTTATTTGTGCTATATGTGCTGATTCAGTTCCTGTTTTTATCCTGTCTTTGCTCAACTTTCCCCTTGTGTTTCAGTACATGGCAAGTGTTTCCATGAAGTGAAGTAAAGACCTCCAGCTCCTTGCCTCATTGTAGCCTCTGAGCTCTTGATTTACAGACACATCAAACAGCTGTGTAGTTTCCCTCTTGATTTTTTCACTTCTATTTGTCTTAACAATTTCTGTCACTTTCCCTGGAAGTTAATGTTCATCCCAACTCTGTAAACTGACCCTTTCCAGAAGACCCATTTCTAAGTTGTTCTTTCAAGCCGGTTTCCTCCCAGGGATGCATTTTCTTCCTTGGTTAAGTAAACAAATTCCCTGCCTCTGAGGCCCCTTTTCTGCTGGAAGGCAAGAATGGAATCACTTGTCCATGTGATCCTTGGGGCCCTCAGCCGCGCCAGCAGGGACAGGACTACAGCCTCCACTTGGCTCCAGGTGGGCTGCGTGTGCCCCACAGCTCTTCCTGGGACATAAGCCCTCCAGGGTGTTCTGCACCCCTTCTTCACAGAAACTCTTCATCCAATCAGCGTGCTGTAACAAATGGCTTATAAACAACAGAAACTTATTTCTCATAGTTCTAAAGGTTGGGAAGTCCAAGATTAAGATTTGGCCTCTGGTCAGGGCTTGAGCCTCACAGATAGCCATCTTCTTGCTGTTTCCTCACATACAGGAAGGAACACACATACTTTCCAGGGTCTTTTAGAAGGGCACTGATCTCTTTCATGATGGTTTAACCCTATAATATACCCCCCAAAGCCCTCACCTCTCTATGCCTTTGATATTAGGATTTCATCATATGAATTTGGGGGGACACAAATGTTTAGTCCATAGCAGAAGCCCTGTCCCTTCTAGAAGTACATTAAAATCTCACAAGGAACTCCTTCTCTCCTTTCTTTGAGGTCACATTAGCCCTTCTGCTATGTGTGCTCTAGTTTGGATGGGAGCCACAGATTTGGCATAACACAAGCTACACAGAAGGCAGTGGGCCTCAGCTTTGTAATGCCTGCTAAGTGGTGGTTGCTCATTAACTATATGTATGCACACCTATTTAATTTATATATGTAAATTATGAGTATATGTTTGTCATAAGTAAGTGTAAGTTTTGATTTTTCTGAGCCATAGGACACTAAATTGTAGAAGTGATACTTCACTACTGAATACTTTACCCTAAGAATATTTTCCTATTATTTCCATTACTGTGCACATGATTATTAATAAGTTCTCATATCTAATCCATATTAAGATTTCACCAGTTGTTCAAAAGGTGTCTTTGAGAGCTGGCTTCTGGTTTGATTTGGTTTGGGGAATTTAGTGAAGAGCCACATATCGCATTTGGTTTTTGGATGTCTTTTTACCCAGTGAGTAGTTGTTGTGATACAGGAGATGGCATAGGACTTCAAATGATATAAGGGAAATAACTATAATTTCCAACCTGTTAGATGTCTGATACATCAAGTTCATGTTCCCTAAAATCAAAGAATGAATTCTAGAAACAAAGGAGGTTAAGAGTAGAAAATATTGAGAGGCAGGAGAGGTCCTTAATGGGTAGCCAGTGACACCAATTACTGGAAAGTTTTATAGAACAAAAACCACATGGGTACAATGTGGGTTAAAGCTGTGATCAACCAATAAGGTCACAAGTATAGTTACTTAGTTAATAGTGATCCAGGGAAACAAGTCATATAACAAGTATGCATGGAAAGAATAAAGACTTTTTCTAGGAAATGATGGATTTGGGGTCTAGATCACCTACTTGGATGACTAATGTCTATCTAGACTTCATGAGACCAGGTGTTGCCACTTATCTTGTCCTTTGGAGAAGTATATAGGCCTGGTCATTTTGTCTTTATCTGTAGCCTCGCCTCTTACAGATACCACTCTGGCTACAGTTGTTATGTGTTTTACTTTGTCCTGTTTCTTGAGGACCTAGCCCTATCTGACTGCCTGTAATATTTCTACCTAACTTAGCTGTCTGTAATAGTTGGATGAATCTATTAAGTCTCCTTCCTGGGCAGAGTAGAGGAAGCTTTGCTTGCCACCTTTCTCGACCCTCCACCCAAGAGTTTTAGAGTTGGAGTAAACATTGTTGTGTATTGATGAGGATTCTTAGGGAGGAATATGCCTATGCAGTCATCTGGAAAAGCAGCTTTGCCTCTGGTGTTGCTTAACTGTAAAGACTCTTTTTCTTTGCTCTCTCTCTGCCTCCCCTGGAAAAGGAAGCAGGTTTGCTCCCTGGGTATAATTACCAAGAGAGAGAGAGCTGCCAAAGCCCAATCTGGATGCTGTGTGTGGTCGCTGAGCTGCTGGGAGGGGCACCTGCCTGGGGTGGGCAGCAGCTGGGTGACTGGAGCAACTCTCCCTCCACAGGAAGTGGTAAATGCTGACTTCCTCTGTTAGCTCTCCTCTTGCTGTGGTGTAGATGAAGAGCTCCTCTCTGCCCCCAGCCTTTTTACTGTTGCTCTCTAGACCTGAAAAGACTAGTTTGTTCCTTTTTTAAAAGCTCTCATTTTTGAGAGGGCCCTACATTCTCTCTGTAGCTGTAGGTCTCATAAAGGGCAGGAGATGGGTGTCTGTGGACATTCTGATGCCTGAGAAGTATTCTGTGTACCAAGCAGACAGGGCTTCATAAGCTAGTCTTAAATTTTTTGAGTTATCTAATCCTAGATACCCCTGATGAGGAATTTGATTTATGACAGACTATTTGAAAATAAGGTAGAGGTATTAGTCATCAAAGTACTGGGCTTGTTTTCTTCCTAACAGAAAGACTTTTGATATCAAACATGCATCTCACAGATAAGGGAAATGCGTGTGTGCAAAAAAAAAAAAAGACGTTCCTCAGTATCTTTCCCTGGCTCTTGATTGTGAGTAGTCTGCAGGCAGGAGGCCTTATAGAAGCCTTGAGGGGAGGTGTGCTTGTCTGGCCAGGGCCCTACACCAAGGTTGTGAGCCATAAAGGGTCTAAGATTGCACAGGGGAATCAGAATGGCTGGCTCAGAATGAACTGGTTTGCATTGATGATCTCAAGACAAACTGGTAAAGAATCATCTTAGTTTGGTCCTATTAGATCTTACCTTCTTTTGGAACAGAAACTAGCCAGAGCTGTCTCCCTAGTGATTGTCCACAGAGCTGGTACATGCATGGGCCCGGCACAATCCAGAACAAACTAGCTTCACACGTAGAAAGTAGTTGGTCGTATTGGGAAGAAGAGAAACATGGTATGGAACGAGTCCTGGGCTGTTGCCTGCTCTGTCTCTAACCAGGGAAATCCTTGTCCTTCTGTTAGTGAAAGGAAAGGGCAACCAACCTTGTCTGTTAGAGAGATTCCTTCCAGCTCTGTGATAGTAAACCAAGATTTATGAGAAGAATTTTCTCCTCAGAGTTGCCATCATAAAGCTTTTTATCCATAATAGGCTAGTTTTTCTTGAATATTCTTTGGGTAGTTGAATGAAAAATAACTCAGAAATATTCAAATGCACATATTTTCACATGTCTCTGTGAGTCATAAATCGTGCGTTCTCAGTGAAGAGAGATTGTTGAGATGGTGCAGTTGAGCCCTTGGACTGGAGTCTGGCATATTAAAGGTGCTTCTTTAGCAGCAGCTGATTTTCCTGCTACTCTTCCTGTTAACCACCACCCTCTTCCTGAGCACTGCTCTGTGCCAATTTCCCTGCTGCTCCTTGCCTCCCTGCTTCCACTCCCTGCCAGGGAAATGGACACAGCCCAACATCTTCTCCCCTTAGAGCCCCCTACACATGTCCTCAGGGCTCCCTGAGAGCCAGAACCGATGTTGACAACTATCTTTGCAGCTACCCCTTAAGCAAAACTTTGTTGAGTTTTCTAAGCATTTTACTCATTTATTCACTTTGGGAGAAGAGAATGAAACAAATGGGAAATGCCAGAGACATGTATCAGTTTTATAAATTAGTCCATGGGAAAATGCTAAATAGACTTTTTAACTCCTGTCAGGCCCAGTACCCAGTCTCAGCCCTTAGATTAGTTTCCTGTCTTCTCCACGTTCTCTAGGACTCCAGGTCCTAGTAATAGGGGTTGGATTTTTTTTTTTTTTTTTTTT